GCAGTTAGCATAAAGAAATGTTTACCACCACTTGAAAAAGAACTGCGAAACAAAACTTTATGGCGCCTACCCCTATCAAGAGCAAAATATATCAAACTTATTTTCCAGTGACAACCCTCTCAAAACCCAAAGAGTCTTTTCACCCAACTGCCTCTATTATTTGCCTTGTATGCCTGTGAAAATGTCATAAGCATCATTATTGGTTGATAAGCCAGTAGCAGAGTATATGCTTGGCACACATAAGGCATTAGGTTTAGATCTTAGTACCAAAACACACACACATATACACATATACATACCACAAAATACAAAAAAAAAAAAAAAAGTTTAAAAAGAACTAGTCCTCAAATATTCTAAAATTCCAACTCAATCAAGCTCTGTTCAAATTTCAATCCAAAACTGTGAAGAAATAATTGTATTTCTTCTGTGAAGAGATACCCCACTGAAGTCATTGCCTGAACTAACACTAACTGAAGTTTTATACCATTCAATCTTCAAGTAGAAGACTACCTGAGACTCCTAGATGTATTGAAGGATTTCAATCTATCCTGCATATCCCACAGAGACTTGTTTCCCTTAACCTCTGTTTTTGGTGAGACTAAACAGTATTTTTTAAATTTCATTTTCCCTGAGTTTTACTGTCATTTAGTTTTTAATCAAAGAATTTCTAATTAGTTCTTTTTCACATCTACTCTAATTTTCCTCTAGTCTGCTTTTTCTACCAATAACTTTCTGTTCTTTTTAAGAAAATTATTGCATTTTTCTTAATGAAGATAAATGTTTAAAGTCTTACAAACTGCCCTCTTATTTTAGTTCTATCTGGGATAAACTTACACCGCATTTTTTTTAACTGGATCCCCTCTTAGCGTTTATTTTAGAATTTTTATTTACAAGCTCAATTCAAGAAAAATCTTTCACCTTCCTTCTGTAACCATCTTTCCCATATCCAGTCAACTTGAATCCCAGAGCCCCATTTTAGGCTTTTTATCCTATGGCAAGAAATAGTATGTCCCTGACTTACTAACATTTGAGTTGAAAACTTTCACAGATATGAACAGACCTCACATCACAAACATTCATAGATGCAAACACAATGCAGTCGTAGTGTACACATCTGCCGGACATTTGTCACTGTTGTGCTGCTATGTGCTTACTGCACAGTCTGACAGCATACAATGGTGCTGTGCTCAATCACAGCCCAGGATGTCCAGAAGCAAGAAGGAAAGCAGTGGTGATGTGTAGAGGACTGGTAAGAAGTGCAAAAAGGGCTGGCCAAATAGCTCAGGGGATTAAAGAAGCAAGCAGGCACAGGGGCCAGGAGTTTGATAGCAGGGCCTGCTATGCCGGCCCCGCCCCTGGGGCATGCTGAGCTGGCAATTGAGACTGGGTGTGGTGGTGTGCCCCTGTAATCCCAGCTCTTGGGAGGCTGTAACAGGTGGACCACTATGAGTCTGATCTAGTAGTGAGACCCTGAACACCCTGTAGACCTTTCCCCTTCCCTACAAAAATACAAAAAAAAAAAAAAAAAAGTGGAAAAAAAAATTGGGCAATATTAAAAAAAAAAAAAGATTATATACTACAATCAAAAGTTATTTACAGGGGGCTGGGGAGATGGCTCAGTAGAATAAGCACTTCCCTGGCAAGTGTAAGGGCCTG